ATAATGAAACATAGCCACAGTGCCAAAGAACCTAAAACGGTCATTAAAATTAGAGAAAGGCGTACTTTCCTATTTAAGAGGTTCCAGCAATGCCTACTCCCGGTGATTTAAAAAGAGAGATTTAATTTCAGAGATCTTGCTAAAAGAAATTTCTCCAATTCTCTTTTTCTGTTTGTTTTGGACAACAAACTGCCCTTTTATGCAATATTTAAGCAATTTTAAAGCTTGTAATGAAAATCGCTGAAGAAATTGAGGCATAGCCTGAGCAAAGGATTTCAGCATTGAGCTGCTGGTAAATAGTTTGCAGCCACAATGCTACGCGTGTTGGCATTGCAAAGTTGAATTTTTTCTTAGTATTATATAGAAAGGTGTTGGTGTAGTTAAAAAACAGTGCCAGTAAAACAAAATGCTAGCAAACATTAAGGGATATTTTCCTGCTGTGTTCCAAATACTTATTCTAGACATACTGAAAAACAGTGGAGCTTACTTTGGTCTCATTTCTAGTGCATTAGAATTGTTCATCAGTTGTGTTCCTGAGTCAAGGGTTTATAAGTGTACAACTTGGCATATATATATTGATTTAAGATTTTGTAGAACATATGATCACATTGACTATTAATTCTTTGGAAATACTTTGCTATTTGCATGTTCGAAATTGTACTAAATTGTTTACCTGGAGTGATTATTTTCAGGGTAAACTGTCAGAAAGCATTTAAATACCACTAATTTTAATAAGAAATAAGCATTCTGGCATGTGAATAAATGAACCAACAGCTGTGTACTAGCTTTCTGATTTTCAGTGTGACAATATAGTTTAAAACCTTACTATTTTCAGCATGGAAATCAGAATCTATTCTGCTAACCTTCTGAGCTTCTAAATTTGGTGTCATGCATAGGCGTGTTTAAAAATTAGCATTTAAAAAGAAACCTACTTGCTTTAAGTTTAAGCTGACACTGTTCCTTTCCTCTGTGGAAATGAAATTTATTAATCATAATAAAACCATCATATTCTGAAGGTAGAGGTCACCCTGAGGAGAAAAAAGTCTATTCATCACAGAGGAATTTCAATGCATTTTTCCCAGATAATATCTGAGCACGGATTCTCTCCCCTTTGGAAATATATTCTTCCAGGGTTGTGCTTATGTGCATCAAGTGTATGGAGGAGGTTGCAGGAATGAGAATTTTTCAATTTAGTTTTGTCTACTTTATTTTCTTTTAGAGACAATTTGGAGGAGTGCTTCTTTACATTTTGTTTCATGTTTACCTTGCAAACATTTATTCAAGTAGAATTCCAACATACTGCTTAAAAAACAAACAAACAAACAAAAAGGATAGGTCACCATTTTTACATTAGGATTATTTCACCTCTCTTTTGTTTAAAGGAAAAAGCATTGTTTACACAGTAGGACAAAAAACACTGAGTTGGAACTATCATCTATCTTTGGAAATAGCTTAAAATATTTATTTATCCATATTTTCCTCTCAGTTGTCCAGATTTCTGTAGAAGATCATTGTAATACTAATAGCAACATTCCACCATTAAACACTTGTTCATCGTTTCAGTGATGAGTTAGGTTAAATATACACCTAATTTAATAAAACTTCAGCACTCTTTGGGCTTGTTCCTTCCTACTTACAAGAGGGCCTTGAGTTTCAGCCACGTAATTCCTTGCCATGCTTGACTCAGTGTGCTCTTGGTTTTTGGTTTTGTAAGGCAATATTATATATTCTGCAGCAAGAATGGAGGATGTAGTATGGAGTCAAAATGCAGCCCTGCTGGACCGCATGGATCAGAGAAGTGAAAAAAAGCTCACAGTAAGTCCCAGTGTAGTTGACAGCTTCCACTACAACACGGTTCTTCCAGGTCTAAATTTAAATAAACAGTTCTTACTCAGTCTTATGACAATAAAAGTTAATCAGGAAAAAATAATTAAAAAAAGCAGTACTTTAAAACTATACCAATTCCCATTGTTCTAAAAATAATAGTCATGATTTTAAAGCATGTATAATAATAATATATGCAATTCATCCTCTATGTTACTAGGGATATTAAGGAAATGTGTAGATCTGGAAATGAGTCTAGCTTTAAATTAATTGTTTTCCCTTTCTAGATGTTTGCTTATTGTTCAAATGACATCTGGTTTGAGGAAATTAAAAATATAATTATTTTTAAATCAATTCTCAGACTTGAAAAATAAATATACAAAGGAAAATAAGGAGTCTTTTTCACCTCATGAAGATGAACAAGAAATATGATATTCTATTATGTCTTCTATCAAAGCTAATTTTTTTTAAATCTCCAACTATTATAGTGCTTACATCCCAATTTGGAGAGAAACATTGCAAAGCTGCTAGTTCTTCCATCCAAGGAGGCTGCAGAGTTTGTGACCAGTGCCAAACCTGCACTAAGAACTCTTTCTAACTCAAAGGATTACTAAGTGATGCTTACCCAGCTGGCCGATCAGAATTATTCTTCCTCTCCTTCATCTCCTTCCTCCCCTTCCTCTTCTTCTCTCTCCCTTTCTTTCTTTCATTAACAACTGCCTGGTTATTTTGGTGTTCATTGCCTCAGATAATTTTCAAATATTCATGGGTACCAACTGTTTAAATGGAATTACATTATAAATTTAATCTTTCACTGTCCAATATAATGGATGTAAAAAAGGAAATAGTTGTATTTTATGCAAGTCTTTTACACATAATTCCCTGAGGTTAAGATCCTAAGATAGAAGATGACTGGACAACATTCTGATTCCTCTGGATATTTGTGTATATTTATGCACAGATAAACATAGCTTTGGTGAGAATTAGAACCCCTGTTCATGAACTTTTAGTTCAAAACTTTGGTAAATTAATTCCTTTTCAATGTATTATCCCTTAATAGAAAGTTAAATGTACTGAGTAAACATGATAATACAATTGGAGACATTTCAGCCAACATCCAAATTTTGCCACAGAATGTCATAGAACTCTTTATCGGGAGAAATAAGCTGCACTTAGCCTTTGCTCAAAACTTGCATTAAAAGTAATAGGTAATCTGTCCTTGAAATTTAACACAGTAAGTATCCTTTAAACTTATAAAGATTTAAGGATAGTAATTGCCACAAAATATTTTTACATTTTTTTATTAATGTAAAATGACACAGAAACATTTCAATAAGTTTGGGATAAAGGAAAGGAGAGGAATGGCTCATTTTATGTCTGGACAACCAGACCATGATTACCAAGGTCCATACATGCCTGCTTTTCAGAATGACCAAATCTGGAGAACTGCAGGGGCTGCAGGTGTTTGGGATCTCTAAGAATTAAGCCCAATCATCTTAATGTGAAAACTTGACCCTCAAAATTAGTCAGCATTTTGAAAAAAGGAGTCAAACATCAATTTGGGAAAGTGCTGATCCTTCTTACCAAACAGTGAAAAATGCAAGAGGAATAGAGCTCAACTCCATGCAATACTCATAGATTTTAAAGGACTACAGTGGTAGCATTGTAGTGTTGCTGGAAAAAGGGGCCTGCTCAGAACTGGTCCCCTGCCAACCACTGTACATACACTTTAAAGATTGTATTTACTAAGCTTTATTCTACTTTTGTTTGTTTGTTTGTTCTTTCATCCGGATGTGTGGTTACATAGTTTTGGAAAGGAAAAACATGTCACCTGTAAATCTGTGACTCTGATGTTGATCAGGTAGTAAGAGGCATTTATGTGAAATATCTGCCTTTTCAGGGTTGGATCTCTTTAACATAGCCTAGTTGTCCTAAGAGATGGTTTACTTAGCATTTCCTTGCAAAGTTAATCCCTCATGCTCTTGTAAATATTGGCTCAGTGAATGGACAATAAAGACTGTTTTGTCTGCAGAAGTTTATGCTTTTTCCTTGAGGATGTCCAAAGGTAGGTAGGAATGTTCAGTTCTGTTAGTTTGGACTTTTTCTCTGCCTCGTGCCCAGGACTCACAGAAGTGGGTGGTGTAAGATTGCATGCATTTGCCATGCAACCATTTCTTTCTCAGTTATCCCTCAGCTGATTATATAGGAACTTAATCAGATTCCACTTGTGAAGTATCAATTCTGTTATATAAAAAAGGGCGAGTGTCCTCTTTTCATAAAACAAAAAAAAAAAAACAAAAAAAAAACAAAATAAAAACCTAAGTTTGTATTTTTGCATTTGTATCTGAAAAATAAGATGGCTATACAGAATGAGACAGAATGGGGTTACTGTTCACATAAGGCTGAAAGCAACATCTCTCAGAGAGAGATCAATAATATTATTAAAACTTAATTTGCTTACTATACTAGATCTTCTGTGAAAGACACCACTATAGTTTCAAGTTTGTT